GTTTTGGCCAAAACACAGGAAATTGAAATGGAGAAAATGATACTAAAGACTGTTTGCCTGAGAATGCAAGTCACTTTCCCAGGCCAACCAATGAACAAAAAGGGACAGAGAAAACAAAGGAGAAGAGAAGAAACAAGGACACATGTGATGTTTCTATTGTTTGCTTTGACAATGGGGGTGTCCCAGTGAAGAAAGAAAGTCAATGCCACCAAAATGAGGGTTGCCGAAAAGAAAAGAATCAAGAAAGTCAGAGTGATTCCTAATGGTTCACTAAAATATAAATAGCTGAAATGTTTGGGAAGGCACTGATCTCTTTCTGCATTTGAATATTGATCTTCTGGGCATCTCTCACATTGATCTGCATCTGGAAGACATGAAGAAAGTCTTGTCATTTCCAAATAAAAAGAGAATATAGAGCTAACATACAGAGTCTAGTCTAAAGTAGAGAAATTACGCTAACGTAAAGAGCCAACATAGAGAAAGCATACTTGGTAAGTCAATTAACATAACCAATTCCACTTACAAGTGGAATTATGACCACAGTTGCAACCAAACTTTTGATCACTAAACAAGGGACAAATTAAGTCTGTCATGCCCCAGATTATGACCTTTTTCTCTCATGGTTTTTAAGTGAATCACTGCGGTTGTTAAATTAATCTGCTTTTTAAGAGAATCTGGTTTGCCCCATTGATTTGTCAGAAGCTGGCTGGGAAGGTCACAAATGGCAATCATATGATCCTGGAAGCTGCAACCATTGTGATTTCACATTGGTCTCCAAGGGCCCAAATTTTGAAAATTACAACCATGATGATGCTCTGAGTCTAAAACGTTACTGTATTTTTTCGGAATATAAGATGCTGCAAAGTATAAGATGCACCTAGATTCGGGGGAGGAAACAAGGGAGGAAATCTGCCTCTCCCTCCCAGAAATTTGCCTCCTTGCAGCAAAGGGGAAATAGTACAGACAATATACACTGTTTTGGTGTATTTCTGTGCGTGTGCTTGATCCATAGAAATAGCAAAGAATTGGAGAAATGTACATTTCTCCAGTCTGGCAGTATATTAATGCCAGAAAGTTTTCTTAAATATAGTCACAATAACACCTCCCAATTATTTAAATAGATCTTCTCCAAACATGACTAAGTTAGTGTCTACTTCAGCTGCCTTAACTTAATACTACAACAGGATATTGTTACATTCAGACTATACTTGTACAGATGTTATTAAGATTGATGTGGCTTTCTGGAAGTATATTTACGTTATATATACGTTATTCTCTGCTATTTAAAAGAAGATACAGTAGCACTGGACCCTTCACATTAAGCATTTATTTTAAAAAGTTTCCTCATTTTTTAAGTTGCCTAGAACAATAAAACAGTCTTTAAAAAATAAGTCTAATAATTTGAACATCCTATAGGCATTCATAGTTATTGACTTACCCCCTTGTCACAAACAGCAAATAGCCCTTTTCAGTTTGAATTTCAGCATGGGCCTCCCAATGATCAGCTGTTTCAGGATGAAAAGATTGCTATAGTCTATTGCTGCCTCAACAAGCCCCATTTTCAGCTTCTGCAAGCCCCATTTTCCACCCGTTCTGGGCAGTGGAGATCAGAATGGGCTAAATATGAGGCATGCAGAGGCTGAAAATGGGGCACGTGGAGGTGGCAATTGGCAATGGCAATCCCTGCAGCCTGAAACAGCTGATGGTAGGGAGGCTGATCCAACTGACAATTAGCTCTTTGTGCTAAGGAGGCAAATTGCTGGGAGACTGAGGCCAAAGGGTGAGCAGGCCTACATTTGGTGCATAAGACATACCCAAATTTTCACCCTCTTTTAGGAGGGTAAAAGTGGGTCTCATACTCTGAAAAATACGGTACTTTTTCAATATTTTTGTTTAACATTTTTTAAATTTTAAAGTTAGCTGGCCTTATTATACTTAAATGCTTGTTAAAGAATTATGCCGGGCATGGGACCTGCGAAGCCGCAAGGGGGGTTAGGGAGGGGGGAATATAGGGTGTAGGAGACAAGGGTAGCGACTTCATGGCAGGTTTTAGAGATATATTATTAAGGAAGCGCTTCTGTTTAGATTTTGGAGCCATTCCAGAATAAAAGTAAAAGACAAGCAATCCAGCGAGCCAAAAATCAAAGTCTGTGCTCCCCTCAATTAGTACGGAGAAGCCTTCAGGAGGGTAG